CTGCCCAGTCTGCGCCTTTTTGTTGTAGGGGTCCCCCCCCCCCTTTTTTTTTTTTTAAGCTAGAGCATCTTTTAGAGCAATAAGTTTCCAGCTTTCATTCTCATCCAGATAGTTTCTTCTTAATTTAAAGCCAGGTCTCGCTGTTGGTTCTTCTGCATGATTGGGTGTAAATTCAATAGTTCTCTCTCTCTCGCTCTCTCTCTCTTTCAAATAATAATCAACTTGTCAGACCTGACCCTGCAGTTTTTCCCTTTTCTTGTTAAATTTGTACATCCAGCCTAGGCCTTTTTAAAGCAACAGCAAATCCTCCTGTGACTGTGAGGCGGCTCAAGTCACAGCATTTAAATTTGGGGACCAAGCGGTCTTACAGGAAAACCTTCTGTAAGAATGTTCTTGCTACTCAATGCAAGTCAAGTATTAAATAAAACTTTATTTTTGTATTTATTGTATTTGGCTCTTTGCTCCAAGGGAGGTTTGGAAATCCTTTTTTATAGGAACCTAAATGCCCCACTTGCAGGTGCTGGCCCCTCCAATATGACATATACAGAAGAAAAATGCATAAAAGTTGTTTGTATTTCATTTTAATGAGTTTCTCTCCTGTATTCTTCAGTTCTGGCTGTCGTTCCGTTACTGCTGTTGTTCTGGCCGTGGCATCTAGGTTTCCTGTACGGGTTTATTCTTCGTTTGTTGTCTTACAGTGTTATTTTGCTGTTATTTTACAGTCTTACATTATTTCGGATTTGATGTGCTTGCAGAGAGGATTGCAGGTTGTAGGGGGTGTTTTTGGAGTGCTGCATGTGACACTACAGAGCTAGCGTGCTTCTACCTGTGGAAGAGCCCCTCTGAAAATATCGCCAGAAACGTCTTTATAATGTTCCTGCTGTCTTGTTCACCTTGTGAATGTGCCAAGATCACATTCCTCTGCTTTCTCATCCTCTGACTGCAAGCAATTAATGCTCTGCACGAGATCCCTGACGGGCTCTGAGAGGCCGCTAGAGTAACTGAGCCTGAATTTTTGCGGAATTCTGTTTAGAGACCTGTTGATGTTAGTGTAGGTTAGGAAACGTACAAAATACCTAAACTAGTATCGTAATAATGATAAAGTTCATTCTGTTATCAGAGCTGAAATGCATCCATTAGGGGGAATATTACCAGCCAGATACATTTTCTATTTTGTAATTCAGTTTATTAGAAAAGGATACTTTGAAAGAAATTTCTTTAAACGTGTTAATGGGAAAAAAATGTTTTTCATTTCATTCCACTGAAATGTAATTCACAAAAATTTGAATTTTTTCCAAAAGGAAAAAAGGAAGGCAATTACTGGCAGAGGTAAAATATTGTGGGTATGGCCGACTCATATTCACTGTGCTTTTTACTGTTTCACCATTATGGCAGGGAAAATAAATATTAGTACTTTAAAAATAAAACAAAACTATAAGGCATCCTGAGAATGTCGATGGCCCCATGATGTTCATTCTTCTTGGGGATAAAGATATTGAACAAGTTACCAGGAGGATTTATTTCTTCTGTATAAGAGAAGTCTTTGTATTTTAAATGAGAGCAGAGGAATGCTTTAAAGGTTTCCAGCAGTGTGGATCTTGCATTGCATAGTAGTGTTTTATAATCCAATTTATATAAAGAACCTTGCTGAAGAGAGTGCTAGCTGAACATTACATGCCTGATGTTTAGAGGAACTGCAGGGGACTCTTAAGAATAATTTTTTTGAATTAAGTTTCTTTTACTGGGTAACACAAATTGAAAACTCCATATAAGACGCTAGCTTTCAGGGCTCACTTATTTCTCTGTCCGAGTTTTAAATGCTCCTTGTCTACCGGGTACTAAGCAAGGGGAAGGTGTCAGAAGTGTGTAAAGGTCTAAAAAATAAAACGAGAAAAGATCAAGTCTCTTGCCTCTTAGTACATAGTACTTTTCCAGCCACCCTTGGACGAGCCAGTGTGAGACTTCTTCAAGGTGTGTGATTTCCACAAGGTGTTGCTGCCCAGCCCTAGAGGCTGTCCAAAGTTGAGCACAGCACGAACATGCATGTAGTCACCGATCCCTTTGGAAAATGTGGGCCCTAAGCCCATAATCACCAAGAACTCTGCCTAGAAAGAGCTTGTCCTGTGAAAACACTATGCACAGTTTCTTGCCAAGTTTAATACTTATTTACTGGTATTTTGACTGGGTGTCTGTTTTCAGAAAGTGATTTCAGACTGAGCTTCATATTAGGAAACAGTGCCTGGAAGATAGGGTGCGATAGAGGCCTTGAGAAGGTAAATATGGATATATAATTGGCTGTTTCTTGTAACATAAGAACTATGTCACTTGCTGAAATTACTAGTAGCAGGCTTAAAACAAGCAAAAATTAAGTTTTCCAGACGGTATCAGTAAGCTGCAGAACTCATTGCCGTTGATGACTATGGAGGCCGAGAGCATAAATGGATATAAAGGGTTTGGACAGAATCACAGAAGACTGTCCCCAGCCAACTGCCACCGGGTGAGTGCCGGCGCCTCCTGCCCTTGGCCACTGGCAGAGGCGGGCTGCTGGGCCAGGCGGATGGCGGACCTGGCTTGCATAGCTTATCTTGCCTCCTTTTTTCGAGTTGCGTTATAAACAACTGTACCTCTACATAGCAACAAATCTGATTTGTATAAACAGTCCTTCTATTTAATGTGTTTGTTTCTTATGTCTTTAAGAGCTGTCCATCTGCTTTTTTAAAGTCATAACCACAAATTTTTACAATTTGGACTTTTTTTTAGAGTGTTGCTAGGCGGCAAACATGCAAGGAGAAGTTAAGCTGGCAGATTTCGCTATTCCTTCATCATGCTGCTGTGATGTTGTAACACGCGCAATCCCAACACAGTGTTACAAGCAGACCATGATATCACTAATATCAATACTCTTAATAACATTTTCAACAAACATACCAAATGCTTGAAGCTCTGCCCTGTGACTGTTAGCTTTGCTGACATCCAGCTAGCATACAGATTAAATTAACTTCCTGGTAACTGAGGACAAGGACCACAAACTCATTTAAGTGCCTGCTGCCCTCTGACTGCCATAGTAGGTGCTAAATCCCCATGCTGAATAGTCTGAGAGGGAGGTCTTGAGTCACCTCTCCCAGAGCGGCTGTGAAGGTAAATCTGAATTTCGAGCAGGGGGAGGAACCAGCCCGGGAAGAGCTGCCACCAGCGCAGCAGCGCTTTCTGATGGCCGTGCTGGGCGGCTGCTGCTCACGGCGCTGGTGATGGCTTCTGAATCACTCGTACGTTGTGCAGGAAGCATCACGCTCTTCTGCTTACAGGCTTTAACACCACAATCATCATTTTCCCAGAAAATACAATTAGTCTAGATCTTGTAATTACTATATTAACAGATTTTGTGCACAAACTCCCAGTGAGTGTTTTCATCTTGGCATTCCTTGTGAGAAGGTTAAGTACAAGCTGTTGTCAAACTGAATGTAATCAGAAAGTTATTTAATCAGTCTGATAGGCATACATAGTTCCTTTTGAGCCGTCCAACAATCAGATACCTGTCAGAGGAATTTTGCCTTTTTCTGGCCTTAAATTTTGTCTACTGAAAAGATCAATTGCTTTACTTAGCCAATAATTTGATCAAAGAAATTAGAATCAGAAGTTTAGGTTAGTGCAGGCGCTCTGTTGTTGAATGTTTAGTTAGAAAAAGTGTAGTATGTATGCTAGTTTAACATTAAAAAATACAAACCATTTTTTGTTTTAAGAAATAGAGGCAAAAAAGGTTTGCTTTTCTCTTTTTACTAATCAAATTCCTGAAGTTTTTCTGAGGTTGGCAACAGTCAGAGCATTACTAACGGGTAGGATAGCAAAGTCAGCCTCAGCAATTTTCGTTCACTTATTCTTCCTTCCGTTGGTCGCAGGTAGTATGTTGCTGCACTGGGGGTAGTGTGCTCAAGCATGCCTCATCCTCTGGTATGAGAAAGTTCTTTCCACTGTTTTTCCTTTTAGCAAAAAAATAAGAAATATGTCAGCCCAGCTGTAGGCACCAACAGAGGTTATCCACAAGCAACGCAGGGAAGCAGTTACTGCTCAGCAAATTGATTCTGTGCTTGGTTTTGCGGGAGGAAAAGGTTGCTTCCTTGAATAGCATCACATATCCAGCAAAACTTCTGCACACTTCAGGCCCTTAAGGAAAAACATAATAGGACGCTGACCTGTAAGCCCGTCCCCGTCCACTCTCTTCATATAAATATATATTCTGTGCCTCAAAGCCAAACCTTTTTCTGTGTAATTGTAGCACTGCCCTCCATTGGCTATGTGGAAGAGTAGCAGATCTGGTGAAGGAGTGATGTTTGTAGCCAGGTGGGAGCTGTCTGACAGGCAGCGCTTGTGCAGTCCCTGTCCCTTGGGAGTCTAGTTCTGACCTAGTTCAAATGCCCACTCATCAATTATCTGTATTTCCTCTTTTTTTCATTTCATATTCTGCCATGAATAAAGCATCATCGGGTGAAAACACTCCAATTGCAGATGAGTATGAAACCATACCTGACCAGACAAAGCTGGACCCAGCAGAAGATGCAAGTCTTGCCTCCGAGGACTCAAAACCAGGAGAGCATCTCCCAGAAGAGGAGGCCATTCTCATTCCAGCACTGGAAGAAAAGATTGATTCAGTTAGCAAAAGGGAGGAGCCGGAGGGCACTGAGCCCCTGCCTTTGGGATCGGAGGAGAGCACGGGGCTGCCGCCTGCATGGCGAGAGGAGAGCACCGGGCTTTCGCTGCCAGCGCCAGGGGAAGACACTGCATCACCGCTGCCAGGACCAGCAGAAGACAGTGGGCTGGTGGAGGGCAGTGACAGCGCTGTAGTGGAAATTGTCAAGAAAGAACATATTACTGAAGATGACCAACTCATTGAGGGTAATATTGGTGCTTTTGTAAATTCAGGAGACCAAATCATGCCTCCAGAGACTTGCGCATGTGTCTTTTTGACTTTAGTGAGAGACTCACACAAGCTTCTGGAGTCAGAATTTGGTCTGCAGAGTCTGTACAATTTAAAGTGTAGAAACACGTGGTTGGAAAAGCCTCAGACTCACAAGTCCAAGCTGTAATAAATATAATCAGCTTTTCCAGTCCTTATCTCTGCTACTTCATTTCATATTCTGTGTTCTTGGCAGATAAAATGCCCCACCATACCCCTCATTTAAAGGTTGTGTTTCTGTGTAGCTCAGAGACGTCGCTTAATGTTTGCAGAGACCAAAGGCTCAATTACTTAATTACATATATTAATTATAAAGCAACTGTCCCTATGCCTAATAATGGTGGAGGGTGGGTGTCTAACGATAGAAGAAAAAGCAGCTTGTAGATGCATCGTTGGCATACACAGCCTGTCTTAAGAGGGCTGGCTATTGAATAAGCACAACAGAGAGAGACGCTGGGGAGGAAGGCTGAGTGAGGAAGGACTGTTACCTGAGACAACAGGTATTTCCACTTGGGAACGTCATATAGTGGGGACAACATGCTTGAATGAGTTGTAAGAGGAATCTTGTGCATTTAGGGGTAGGAGTGCTTGTTGTCAGAGATGGTGCTCATCTTTGGGGCAATGCCCAGAGGATGTACCTCTCTCACTCACTACACATGCCGAAGGTGAACACTTTATGGGAGGGATCAGGCTTCTCCAAAACAGTGCAAAGCAGCTCAGTGAGGGATTGGTTACTTCCTGGGGAAGCGTTTCTTTGGGCAACAAGCAGGTGAAGCACATGAGAAGTATATCTCTGCAGGGAAACATGGTACTGGCAGCCGCCTTCACTGCACGTTCCCCTTGAAGTGCAAAACACAGGAGAAGGACTAATTATGTGAAGCCCAGAGCCAGTTCATATGGCTTTACTGTGCACAGCTGTATAAATCTATCCGCATATCAGCAGCTGAGCTATGGGCACTGCCTTGTCCTCCTGTGTGTTTCTTTTCAAAAGAATTTGGAGGGCTCGTCTACATAAAATGGAGATCTATCATTTGGAATAAAGTCTTGTTTTATGTATGCAGTAAAGCACTGGGTGCTCACCTGTAAAACATGTAGTCTTGCCCAGCTGACAATCCCAATTTCATTAATCCATTAACCATCATTTATAAGCTTAGTGGCACAGTCCTGGAGGCAGAACAGTACCTTCTGAACAATGTAATATGACCTTATATACATGAAAACATGTTGAAAATTGATTGTTGGCCTACAGAACAGGTATGGGGCTTTGAATCGCCAAGCAATGCATGCTGTTTGCATGGCAAGTGAATAAGGCTTTCAGAAAAACTTAGTCTTACTGTTATTTGTTCCAAGATTGGAATAATATCCCACAGGCTCTCGTGTGCGTTTTCTTTCCACAAGGTATGTGATGAAGAAGGGGCCTTCCATTTTTATGTTGTGGTGCATAGGATACACAGCATTTGTTTCGCTCTCCTTTATTCCTCAGTAGCTATGTGAGAGACGATTAATTAGGTAGCAGCTTCCCAGGCAAAGTATAACTTCAACTAGAATAGCACGTTATCATGTTTTCTATTTCTGTTATGTTCCCTTTTTTGGATAAAAACACACATATGTAGAATAACACTCATTACCTAAGGAAAATAATTTGAACAGGAATAGTGCTTGTGATGTGTATTGAATAAAGTGTCAAGGGCATTTTGTGAAAATGTTGGGAGAATTTTATGGGCATGAAGCATGCTTGTACTTGGATGATGGAAAGTGACTGGGAACATCATGTTTGTTCCCTATCAATTCATTCAGTTGATACCTTTGTAAAGGGCAGCGGAGGGTTGGTGAAACAAAATCAGTTTTGCAGAAAGAAGCTGGGGCACTCAGTGCTTTTTTTAGTGGATCCTAATTTGATCTCCATGGTTACTGTTCCCAGGTGAGACGGGAGAACAGGTGGAAACTGAGCTGCTCAGTGAGATAGTAAGTGAAGGGTCTGAAACAAAAGAAGAAGAAACAGGAGAAGCAGTGGATGGTGCAGCAGCAACAGAGATAGGTATGTTGACAGAGGAGTGAAGGATTGCATGTGTTCAGGAGACAGAAAAACTGCGCTCTCATTGATGAGCGCGTCTTTGTCATCTTCCTGTCGGTGAACAGCTGCTGCTTTTTGCATTCTAATGCAAGACATAGCCATAAATTTTTTTACATACATAAAGAGATATTTTTGGAAGCAATCAATTGTACGTCATGCTCTTTACATGGGTCTTTATATAATGCATAAGTCCTACCAGTGATAAATTATTCCTGTTTGGGGAAAATGCTAGACTGTAGCAGGCAGTCTTGGAAAATAAAAACCTATGTTAAAGTCATGACACAGCTGATGATTATTTGCCAGACTTGGTTTTATGAGTTAATAGCTTAACACTGCTTTGTGATTTCCCTCCTATGCTGGACATTCATTTTAGATCCCTCTGGTTTTCGTTAACTGCCGAGATCAGCAGTGTAGCATGGGCTGAAAGCACATTCCACAGCCAATGCAGTCACATGGTGGGAAGGAAAAGCCACAGGCCAAATACAGCGAGTTTGGAAATACTCATACCAGTTAAAAGAAGAATGTGAGGGCAAAGGACTCTTTCTCCTGCAGACTCTTAGATTATGTTCCCATTTCTATCATCACAGTCCTTCTGCAGAAGTTATTTTTTCCTCCTCAGCGTTCACTGAGGACTTACGCTCGTTTACTGTGAGTCCACACAGAAGGTCAGATTCCTTTGGGTAGTCACACGCCTAAGGCAGCAGTGGTTACTAGTGGTATTGCCAGAAACTAGAAAAGGAAGAGCAGGCAGTGCAAACATCTCCTTCCCTTCCACCAGCAAACATTAACTGCAACGATTGAAGCCCAAACTCCCTCTCCCCTCTGGTGAATGTCCTCACCAGTAGCCTAGACAGCCATGCTCACAGTCTCTCTGGACTAGTGAGCATTGCAACGAACACTTCATAGCTTCCAGGTGAACCTCTGCGATAAGAAGGTTTTAGTGCCTTCCCAGTGCTTGCATATGCTCTAGCCTTTGAACTGTTGAGTAAAAGGGGTGAGGGCTCCCTTAAACAGACGAGGAAGGCATGCTACCTCTCTCTTCCATCCCAGCTGGTATGCTGTGAGGAGGCAGAGTTCACTTAGTAGGAGATAAATGGGAAGCACCAAGCTTGGAAGTTCCCACAGAATACAACTGTTGCTGGTCAGGTCCAGAAATAGGCATTTGAAAGGGTCTGCAAGGGCAAGCCACCACCTCTAACCAGTGGAGAAAGAGATTCTTGTAAAACTCTTCTCAAAGTGGGGATATATTGAATATCTGCAAGGGTTGCCTTGCGGGGAGCAGCCACGTAAGAAATTCTTAAACAAGAGGGACTGCAGGACAAAACACGAAAAGCAGCTGCACGGCCGTTCAGTATCCGGTCTCACTTGTGCCTGCTGGCACTGCTGAGTCTTTATCTTAGCTGTGTCCAAGATCATTTGCTTTATCTTAGCCATTCACAAAACTCATAGGCAAGAGGGTTGTTCAGTCAGTTTTGCAGCAAGCATGAGGCACGCCTGTGCTATCTTGTTTTGGTTGCACTGACCACAAGCCAGTATGTTACACCTGTGCTACAGGACTAAGGAAAATGGTTTTCACCACGAGCACCGCAGCCTGGAAGACAAATAGAGTGCTGGTCAAGAAGTCTGGACAAAGCATGTGTGCCTGTATCACCTTGTCATTAGTCAAGCGGAATTAGATAAGCAGTGACCAAAAAAAAACACTCACCTCCCTGCTACTTATCAACTGTTTAACAGTTGGTCCTGGCAGCCTGCAAGTTAGACCTGTATATTATTGCTTTTAAGCTAGCCATGAAAACAAGCTATTATTGGCTGTTGGCAACTGTGTTTTTCTATGCAGTATATAGCTTTGCCTCCAAGGTCCTGAAAAGTTTATTCATTCAATTTGTTTTTAATCTCTCTTGTGTGGGCTTTCTAGAGCAATCAAAATTAGAGGGGTCTTTGCTGTGAATTCAGCGCAGCACTTAATTTTCTTCTGGGAAATCTCAAAGAGCAATGGAATCCTCTTCCTGAAAATTAAGAGACTTTATCATATGATAATTACAGCTTTACTGAAATAAAATTCCTCCATTTACCTGCCTTGTCAATATTCTTCCCAATAGTATTTCTAAGAAGCAAAACAAGCAGTCCTGCTTTTATTTCATAATACATTTCAAATGATAAGAGCATACCAATGTAGACAGCTCCGTGAACAGCTGCAGGCAAGAAATGCTTAGAATGGAACGGGGTCTATTTAAGTTACTGTTGTATAACGGTGCAATTCTCCCATCTTGAAAGGATGTTGAAGAACTAAAACAAGACTCTGGGCAGGGATGCAAGAATGCTAAGGGGAATGGACAAATTCTTACATTAAGAGAAATCAAAAACATTCAGATCCTTGCCTCTGAGAGGATATGACTAAAAGGATATTAGTTGATCATAGTACAAAATAAACAGTGCTCTAAAGGTAGCTGAGGCTTATCTCTGAAAAAGGGCATGTTCAATGACACTAAAAGCACAGTGAATTCAAAACCGTTAAAGGGAATTTTTTGCCAGACAATATTAGTATTATTCATGCAAATTAACTCTCAGACTCTTTTTGCATGGAGAGGCAATTTGACTTCTCTCCTGTGTCTGCTGCTGATGGCCTAGACATGTTGGCCGCAGCATCTGGGAGCAATTCCTGGATGAGACATTATCACAGACTCACAGAACGCTGGAGGTTGGAAGGGACCTCTGGAGATCATCTGGTCCATGCCCCCTACTCAAGCAGGGTCACTTAGAGCAGGTTGCCCAGGACCATGTCTCGTCAGGTTTTGAATATCTCCAAGGATAGAGTCTCCACAACCTCTCTGGGCAACCTGCGCCGGTGTTCAATCACTCTTACATTTAAAAAAAGGTTTTTCTTATGTTTAAATGGAATTTCCTGTATTTCAGTTTATGCCCGTTGCCTCTTGTCCTTATATGAGTAAGATAAATGAGATGTCTGCTTCTGTGTCAAATGTGACTGAAATTATCTAGTGGCTTCAAAAGTTATGAGAAAAAGCAGCAGGGTGGGGAGGAGCATGAGACCATTGCAGCATAACTAGATTGTATATAAATGATGTTCACGTCTGTAGAGGAAGTTTGTGCATGAACAGGATGGAGGAAGAGGAAGCAGAGATGGCTGATGGCAGCTTTTTTAAGTCCCCACAGAACATCCTTACAGATCCTGCAGAAGAGCAGCCTTCAGGCTGTGATACTTCCAGGGAAGTCTCATATTCCTATAGGATATATTGAATATGAATTTGTATCCTAAATTGTTAAATTAATTCTTTTTCCATTTCAGGGACAGCTGATAACGAGGAATAGAAGTTATGTCTATATGAACGTCCTCTTCTTGGGCCTGCTCTTCTGTCTTCATGAAGATTCTTTAATTTTATTGGGTTGGGAAAATAGAAAAGTTTTTATAGACTTTGCCACAAACATGAATAAGAGGCAGGAAAAGCTTTGTATATTATATATTTTTTGAAGTCAAGCTGCCAAGACTTCAAGTATTTGAAATGCCTGAACTTTCACCTCCCTGCCACAGAGGGCCTTCTTATCCCACTGCGCTAGCAGTGTACATTTTCTGACAACAGTATACTCATTCAGTTTTCAATTACGGTTTTTTCCAGGGTCAGGTAACTAACTTAAAACCTGAGTGGACACCTTTGAAACTTTCAACTAGCATTATATAGGATAAAAAAAAATGTAGCATAGCACTTTTTTTTTTTTTTAAATGGTAGCGTGAGTAAAAAGTCAGAAATGAAAGTCTTGGTGCTGTAAACTTGTATACATGTAGATAATTTCTCTGAAGGCCTAGACGAATGGTGTACGGAGTTGCTCAAGTATATGGCATATGGAGGAGTGGAACCTGAGAGTGCCTGTTTATTAGGCTGTAACTAAATGCAATGGTCATTTATTCAGAAAAATACAGGGTGTGATATCCAGTAACCAAGTGCGTGTCTTCTGCCAACCTCTACTTTAAACACAAATTTATTGAAAGGACAGAAGTACAATGAATATGAAAACTTTTGCAAACAAGGAAAAAGAAGATATTTAGCTACGAGCAGCTTTTTAGTCTTATGAATTCCGGCACATTTAAGAAAATAACTTCACAGCTGTTAACATTCATGCTGATTAATAATTGGTCTTTAGTCATATAGCTCCTAATACACATTTGCATCTTCTAAAACAGATTTCTAACTAGAGACTTACATAAGCCTGTTCCCAAAGGAGAGAGAATCTACTATATTTCCCTGTAGTCCTCCATAAGAAGTATGCCATGAGGGATTTTTTTTTGGTGTTCTCTATTATGCTAAATAATCATTTTGGAGTTGAAGTCGAATGGCAAAGCCTTCAAACAAATTTTCTGTGAAAATAGGCCCTGAAGATAATTGGTCTTATAGATCTGAGAGAGCAGAAATTTGTTGTGATGGTGAATATTGCAAAGGAACTACCTATTATTACTAGGAACTGCCTTTTCAATATTCTCTGGCATAAGAAAGCAGCATATTGCAGTCAGGGAGAAAGGGTCAATTACCTAAAACGGCCAAGCATATGTTGGTATTTTATTAGGTGTATTTTATACAAAGAACTTAAAAAAAAAATTTGAACTACCACCAGCAAATTATAAAAATCCCCTCTAAAAGCTAACTTTTGTGCTGCAAGTGCACATATGACTCCAGTTGACTTTGGTTTGTATTAAATAATTGAATTTATATACATGGCCTATCAGGTTTTTACTTTAGCTGATGTTCTTTGGCTATAACACTATATTTAAGAGTTTCTGCTTATCAGCAGTCTGTTCAGTTTACAGACATCTCAGCTTTATTTAAGGTCACCTATTAATGTTGGCTGTAGGACAGAACTAGAAACTTTTATAACCAAAGCGAACACTTTTTTTTTAAAGGAATTTTGGTAAGTGGATGTTACAGATGTTTGGTTTTTGCTTTTTACTCGCCTTCTATATTAGAGAACTTAAGGCAAGGAGTTAGTCCTACTAAGCATCTAATATTGACACAGAAGTAGGAATTAAAAATTCACACAGGTAGCCAAACTTTCTGTCCACATACCCAAATCATTTCATGATAAAGAACCACAGAAACATACCATATATTCCGGAGAGCTGAGAGATGGGTGACCAGTTAAGGAGCAGCATGAGGGCCCTTGGGATGATACAGAGTAAGGCTGGGCATACAGCTGGGGTCTGTTATGACCCAGGAGCTTCACCTTCAGCTGCTTCTGGTGGCTGGTGTCCTCTTGTAAGCTGGGGATTTGGTTTAGCCACCAGCACGGTCCTGCTCCCAGTTAAGGAAATGACAGACAGGGGAGCCATACTCACTGCTTGTAAGCTACGTGTTAGATCAAGAGTTACAGTTTGACCAGCTGTATCGAACAATTGTAAAGTAGAAACCGATTCCATGATAGTATGGACAGCAGTGGAAGAGATTGCACTTGGAAAAAAAAAAATACGATGCTACAATGGAACCGCTGCTTTGCGGAGCCACTGTTGTTACCAAAAAGACAAGCAAATCTACATTCTTATCTCACCATTCGACTTTTTGAAGACATTAAGCAATTCTAATTGGGAACAAGAAGAATATAAGACAATCAGTTACTCAACATCTCAGTCCTTATGTACTTTGTGTTTACAACTGATTAAAAGCTATTTTAGCTTTTAGCTTTTTTTATTTTTAGCTTAGAGTGCTTCACTTCTTCAAGGAACAAGCTTAATCACCAAGCTCACAAGAAACCTCTGACAGGAATTTTGTTCCCGTTACCAATAAACATAACCCTACAAGAGGATAATTTTGGACCCTGTCAGCCCTATGTATGCGCATACTGTGTTAGGATCCCCAAATACATCTAGCAATCTGGCTTGCTAGAGTCTGATCTTTCACTTAACACATACTTGCTCTCAGATAAAATACTTTAGCAAGCGTGAGGTGCTTGTAGCAGAAGATTAGGGCAATTGAAGTTTTGTTACGCATTTTAACAGAGAACAAAGTTCTGTTAAAATTAGGTACTGAGGTTTGATTTTTGCATTGTTCAATCTATAGAGAACATAATCATTAGGGGAAAAAATTATAAAAGAAACATGTAGCAGAAAATGCTAATTTAAGTACTGCATTACTATCACAGAAATATATTAGATGAGCTGTTTTGTTTCTGTTTTTTAATAGTTACATGATTGAAACATTTTAAATGGTGGAATTAATATGTCAAGCTAAATCACAACTTCATATTGTGCATGCTAGTGGCTCAGTCTAGCAAACAAAATGGCTGTTTAACTTAGCTCCAGTTAAAGCAAGATTTCATACATGCTTATGTACTTTGCTGAACTGAGACCTAAGAGATATCCACAATACTTGCTTTTCAAATAGGAGAATTATGAGGCTTTGACTTTTTAAAAAAAAAAAACAGATCAAGTAATATAATGCTGCTTAAAAAGTACAAGTTTTTGCCATCTATATGGAAGACTGATCATTTATGCTAAGAACTGCTATGTCAGAGCTATAAATAAAAGTGTTTATTTCAGTTATTCTCGAATTCCTCTACTGGAAGAATTCATATTTAGGCTTGAATTGTTCAAGAACGTGCGTTGGGTCCCCCACTAAAAGCCTAAGAAACTTACAACTAACAGCGTTTTTTTGTTCCTGACTTTTTGCAGAATTGCACCTACTTACCGATACAAACATTTTTAATGCAAGTAATCTGTTGTGCCTCATGAGTGGCATCCAGCATGTGTTCTTACAGGTGCTTCTTTTACCTTTCAGTCTCAGTTTGCGTCTTTCTGGGAAAAACAGTATTATATTCACACCCCTCTGTACCAACGAAGACACCCAAAGGAGTTCTATAAAGGACCTTAAATCAGCAAACAGGCAAGTCAAGTCAGCACCAAAAAAAAACACCCGCACCAAAAGCGCCATCTTGTGTTAGGTGTAGGCTGGCGAGGAGGCAGCACAGCACAAATAAGGCAGCTGGTCACACAGTAGTAATAACGTGAGGTAAGAAGGGATAACTCTAGCTATACAAGGCTGAACTTAGCTTATTTTCAACACTATTGATATCTGCTGATGGTGAACTCTTAATTATACTACAAATAAGTTAAATATATTCCAACAAAGTAATTACATCTGAGAAAAGCAATACAGAAAAAAAAATAAATTGGGAATCTGCTTAAACAATATAGCTCAATTCAATTACATTATTCCTGGCTGACAAGAGTGAAGCAACATTCACTCAATGTTTCCTATAAAGTCACTGTCACGTTACTGCTCGCTCCTTCCTGATGGTGTTTGTTTTGTTAGCCGGGATTGCTTCTTGAGTGAAACAACTACTACCAAGCTGTAGAAGATAAAAAAAACTTCAATAGTACAGCCAAAGAAAGAGAGAAGCTGGGACTAATAGCATTTGTCTGTAGGAAGTTTATATGCAAAGTCTTTCTGTACTTTTCAAAAGCTGTTGCTTAAAGTTCAGATTATCTGATACATTAAATCCATTATCCTGCCCCTAATAAAGGTAATTACGTCCTATTCTGGAGATAAGGGAAAACTGTAAAAAGCCATACAACTGTACATACTTGCTGTGACTGTCTCGTTATTAATTGCTTTTCTTTGAAGACACAAATTATGAACTCAGCGGAAAGCAGGAGAAATACCCCATTCAAGCCATATTTGGAAGGGCTGATTTGTTTTCACAAGTTATCTAGGCAGCATTACACAGAAAGGCCTGAAAAATATGAAATTTACAGTTATCTTAACAGTACAACTAAAGTAATGAGACCTAGAGAGTACAGCTGACAAGCAGGAAGGTAAGAAACCACTGGTGGGATGTTTATAGTTCATCAAAGGATCAAGACGATTGTTGTGGAGGTTTGCTCGCAGGAGGATGTTCAAACTGAGCGGTATCTGTATATGTCATTTAAAGATATACGCTGCTATGAGGTATACACAGATAGCAGCTGAACCCATGCTGTTATATTGGAGTTTTCGTGCATGCTTAGCATACAAAGTCATTAACCAATAAAGAAGCATGTAAAAGATGATCACCAATAGGCATTTTAACATCATTTTTAGAAAACAAGTGATATGCACATAGGAGAACTGCAGTTTGGATTTAAGTTGTTGGACAGCTCAGCCTGCAGTGCTATCGCTTGACCAACGGCAAACCTACATCATGCCCTCTCCCTGCCACACAGCTGTAGTAAGGATGCTGGAGTGACAAATCCAGCGCCGAGTCAGGTTTTGTGGCTTACCAAAACCGAGCAAGTTTGGTCACTAGAAGAGATGGGACTAGAAAAGGATGCTGGAGCTGTCAGTCCCAGCAGACTCCAGAAAGAGTAGCCTACAGGTCTCCCTCTCATAACATGGTTGCTAAAATTCACGTGTGTTACTACAGCTGAAATGGTGCGTTCCGTAAGCTGCTGCATATGTCCATTTTTACTTTCTATAAGATGAAAATGAAGATGGGGGATAATGTTACTGTCGCTGTATATACGTGTAACTGGATGTCCATCTTTGCAGAAGAGAACATAACAAAAATGTTTAGGTCAACAGACTGTGAACAAAGAGAAGTTCTGCTCATTTATGCTGAATAAACCAATATCGAACTCTGGCATGTAGCTGTGGGGAAGTCAAGAAACCTACTTGGTCATAAGACAGCTGACTTTCAAACAGGTTCGTTAAAAACACAGCATCCATTTCTACTTGCTTAGCTAGAAGACAACTGGAAAGGGATAGGATAATGTAACATCACAGTTTGACTCCCAAGATTGTTTAAACACCCTATTCAAGAAGATGCTTCTGTTCTTAACTGGGAAAACTGCCAAGAAACAATGTCACCATAGCTGAAAGCTTGCTGTCTTGGAAGACTGTTTTCATCCTTAGCTATTAGCAGATAGGCAGTAAACCTATTTTTCCTGGTTTGAATCATTCCTTATTGGATAAGCAAGATAAGGATTTTTTGAAATGGAGTATAAAAGCATAACAGCTTAACAGCTTTGAGGGAAAACAAAAAAGGAGAACTGAATCTCAAGTAAATAAATATGTAAGCACTTATTTAAAAATAAGAACCAGGAAGAGAAAAGTCTGTTCCCAAAAGACACAAGCACATTTCATAGATACAATAATCATTTATTCTGATTAAATAGGATATTTTCCCTCATAAACTTGGAATTTTTTTTTTTTTAAATTACACTATATTCAAAGTTGAATTCTATGAAAAAGGTTGCAGGGAGAGATTCTTTTGCAGCTGATTTAGAAATGTTAGCAGGTTACTTCAGAAAAGTGTAATTTTCTTTTTTCTGAAACGAGTGTTCACTCCCTTAAGTAACTGCTTCCACAAGAACAAAATGTTAGTGGGTCTCAACACTAATCTATTCTGTGAAGAAAAGAATACAGCAAAATTGCCCAAAAACACAGAAGTGTATCCTAACCAGTTCAAGTGTTCTACAGTTTTCCCATTTCTATCATTTTTCTTATTTGAAATAGTTACTAAGTCCTACTAAGTATTAAAATAATTATAATTTTCCACATCCAGATCACCCCTAGTATAACTACGATATATTCACCCAAAAATATGTACTTTATTATCTGAAGTCACAAATCACAAAATAAGGCCCCTACCTGCAATAACTTCAAACATACCCTGATTTGAGCAACAAGCTCAGCTGATTTCAGCAAGGCTCTCAGAGACCTCAGGGTTTGCCTGCATGGAACTAATTGCAAGTTTGCATTTTAGAGAGCGCAAGGTCCCGAAGCACCTTTCCTAAGTGAGATTAGTGATTTAAACTGTATGTACCTGCCTGTAGTCAATCGTAGGAAAGGGACCTAAGGGAGGAGCACTGAATCTAAAACTGCTATTGCAGGATATTCAGTCTCCATCTATAGTCATGCTGAAGCATCTTGGATGGATCCTTGAATGGCAACAGCTTCAATCTCAACTCGGGGACCCTGAGAGCAAAACAATGAAGAAATATATATATAAATATATATATAAAATATATATATCAATATATATATATAAATATATATATAAATATATGAAGCAATCAGATGTATACCACTTAAGAAAAGGCTAACCTTGCAAAAACAAGCAGTGACATTAGAAGCAGATTGCACTTCTGATAGTTGTATTACTAGTTTAGTGATATTCAATAATAAGGAATATTAAAGCAAATTTTCAATAAGTATCAAAACCCCTTATCTCTAGGGCAATAGGCATCTTCCACCATACAGAAACATATAATAAAAGATATATGAAATCATGAGATATGTGGGAATAAGACTGGAGTACCAAAACCAAAAACTAAGTACTCAAGAAGATTATTCACTAAAATAATTGTACTTGAGGCTATTCCTGAGTAAGAAAAGCTGTCAGAAAGTTTCAAAAGTAAGGAGTTCCATAAAATTCATCTTTGTAGGCAAAAAAAGTAACACTTACTTTTGGCAAAGCAACAACCTGATAGGCTGCTCTGGCTGGGAAGTTAGTCTTGAAAACTGTAATTTAAGCAGGAACATCCACCAATCATTTATCTTTGTTTTATCAAGCAAAGTTCAAAGTAACCTGAATAAAAAGCAGTCAGTAGAATGGTTTCATGTTCAAGATCACAAGACAAATAATCTTCTGTGCCAATTTTTTTCTCCCCCATTTTTCAGTCACTCACTGCTCTAATACCTTATCAACCTACCATTCATCATTAAGAATGCAACTATACATGCAATTAAAGACCAGGGATAATTTTTTACTCTGCTGACACAGCCTTAACACCAATTCAGCTGAACCTGAAAAGATCAAATCAGAGGAGCAGTGATCATCCAATTGCAGAGACCATGGGGTGGAAGAGGGCTCTTTCACAGACAGCAGCAAGAGGAAGAAACTGGTCCCTGCCAAAAGAGTCCTGAGGAAAGGCTCCAGATTTGCACAGAGTACACTGAAGGTGAGCCTTACTCAAGAAGGCCTCTTGTACAGCAGGCCCTGACCCACTCCTCTGTCCAGGAATATGCCTGGAGTTCAAGGGTATTAAATTTTTTAACAGGAAAAAAAGACACTGTTCAAAATGTAAGAGCTGTATTTGCATCATTACATGAAACGTCTACTAGTTAGAGTTAATGCTAAGCTCAGAAATGGTAATTTCAGGGAAAATTAACCTGACAAAGCAGGTTAATAAGTCAAAGAACAGCTAGAACTACTTTATTGAATTACAGGTACAAAGGGTATTTTGCAGTAAGTAAATATGAATCCAGTGGATCTATTCTTACAGTTCATAAACACTACCTATCTAATGAAAATCCAAAGCGGTATGAAAAAAAAAAAAAAAGTTGTGTGCATACACTCCCAAGTTTTTTCAAAACGTGACTCGTTGGAATCATGCACTTCAGTCTGTGTTCTGTTTTCTTAATTATACATTATTCTTCTACAATTTTTGTTTTAATGTAAGATTGTGGAAGAAACGTAACAAGAATCTCACACTGCATCATCTAAGTCATTATCACACTTTGGTTACAGTGAATATAACTTCCACAAGCCATACTGATAAAATATAATAATACTTACATTGTCTGTAAATATCATTAATATCATTGAAGTCGTTCATGTCTGCCATCAAAACAGTAGTCTTCACAACTAGAAAATACGTAACTGCAGTTATTTTGGACCTTTGACTTTTATATAAAAGTTGAAAGTCTTTACTGCATTACTTATACTATATTTTTATTCCAAATATTTATCTCAAATCTTCTAATTGTTTTGAGACGTTCTGCAGAGAGATATAGACTATTAGAGCTACTCAATCAGTTTATTTTAGTACTAGCTTAGAAATAGCAAGGTGTCGCAAAATGTAAATACATCCCTTCCTTTATAAAATTCTCAGGAATGTTTAGCGTGGTTAAAGAATCAGTTTATTCTTTCAGACTGAGATCTTTCAAACCTCCTAAAAAAATCTCAGTATCTAGCACATATTAAAATTGAATATCCCTGACCAGCTTTGAAAATATCCGCTTAAATTTCATTCCGAGAGGCATAGAACTGGTGAAACAGGTGAATTAAAAAGTTGTAATCCAACTGTTGGCAATAAATTACATCATATATAATATTTGCCACCAAAAAAGTGTAGCATGTCTGAAGATATTGTCTATGCTAGTACTTTTTTTATCCATGACTGCCCAAACTCACATTAATCCTGCGTGGACTCCACTATTAGAATGCTCTTAAAGAAAAGGTGCTGAAAGTGCCTAAAATATGAGCACCATTGCTACAAACCTGCATTTACTTGGAATAGAGTCTAGGATGCTTAAAATGCCTGTAGCCAGTTCCAGCTCAATCTACAGCTTAGCTTCCTCAGTTAGGAGTTAAAGTATTAGTACCACAGGCAGCAACTTCCAGCAAAAGGCAGATACTTATTGATATCCATCACATAAAGCAGATTTGCATGTAGATTTTTCTTAATCCAGACTCCTGTCACCTTTTGTCTCCTCCAGCTTTTGCTAAATGAGCAGTTGTTATCAAACAGCTTTAAAGGTCACTTTTTTTTTTTTTTTTAAATAATCCAGGTAAAAACATTACTTGCCTGCCAGCACCACAGCAGCACTTACCATTGCAGTAGTCACAGCCTGCAGCTTTCAGGATTTCTCCCATGTTTTTTAGGGCCTATCAAGAAATGAGAAAAATCTTTTAAGTACAGCTTGGCTGTATTTAGATAAGTGGGTGTTGCAACGTGACTACATCCATGGTTATAGTTAAGAGTTTAGTTAAGAGTTTACCCAGGTAATCTTCAACAGTCATCAGTGGGCAAGCAAAACCATAGATGAAAAAGTAAAATAATAAAAAGGAACTTCTTATAAACCCCCAGTATTGAACTGCCCACTCAAAAGATACAAATGTAAGATGCAGCCCTATCTCATACTATTACTCCACGCACCCTCTTTGCTCCTGAGGAAATAAATCCTCTTCCCTCAACCGAAAGCCAGGTTTCTTACTGGGGTCCAGTTCTTTGTTCATTGACTCTCTCCTGTATGAAATACAGATTCCTGCCTTGGCCTCCAAGCTGTTCGGGTGACGAATGACAGGGATGGGATAGAATTTTTCCTCCTGGTTTTCCCTCATTTTGGAGAATGTGGAAGGTTGTTCCCTAAGGCTCTCCCATTCCTCATGGGTTCACCTTTAACTGAGCACATGCCAACTCCACAGCAAGCATATTGCTAGAAGACATCTTACCTGTTTAGCTTCCTCCTTTGCCCCTCCGGAGACAAGCTGCCCACTGGAAGGTTCTATACCTATCTGTCCTGCAATATACATGGTCCTATCTACCAGTACTGCTTGGCTGGGAGGAAAAAAAAAAAAAAAAAAAAAAAGGACAAGACATTTTGAGAGCTCATTCAGAAATATTTTTCCCCAGTCAAAACATTTAGCTATTTAGCTACCCATCTCTGCAAGTAGTCTCCTGTATGGACACTTTGCATTCTCTTCAGTAATTTATAGCATCTCAAGATACAGGACTTAGGTTATACATGAACAAGTTGAACAGTCATATACTCACTCTGCTTATGCTTTGGAAGCGCTAGGATTGAGCCACCTATGGAAGCATACATCCACATTAGCATGGCTTTATGTATGCAATAATAGGCCTTGTCTCAAAAAGGTGCAAGGCACTAGCACAGCAACGCAACACTAACATAGATGCATAGCTTCCAGACTAGAGCTAATCCAGAGGGGAGGCAGAATAATTAAAATGTTTCTTGCATCTGCCCAAATAACACTGGTTCTCTGGCAGTATTTCTCCAGAGTCATGAATTTGGACAGTCAGAAAAGCACCCTGATCACTCCATTCCCAGCACAATCAGTCTCCTCTGAACAAATAACCTGGGTGTCCTGTTGGCAGAGTTAGTTCAGACGATTGCAAAATTCAAACTATCTGAAAAACACTTTATATAAAGTGTCAGGTCCATTTCTGCTGAAGTAGAGTTGGCCATTGGTAAAGTCTCTTAATTATCACAAAGAGATTAAAAGATTAAAACCAAGATTCAAACCACCTAGCAAACATTATGCAATAGACATAATTTACTCCTCTTCAGCTGGTAATTAAAAATAATTTGCAAGAAAACTAGAGAAAGGCTCCTTTCGAAAGGTTTGCGGTGGGGCAACATAATTTTTCTTATCTCTTCCCACCCCAGAAAAAAAGTTATTGTTCTGATAGTTCAACAAGCCTCTTACATTATACAGGCTAGAATCAGATACCTACGTGACGCATCTCAATTAGAAGGTTAGTTTCCCTATAAAGTCAATAGACGAAGAAAGGGACTCCTTCAGAGAGCACTTCTAACAGATTTCTTCTCTAGATTGCTCTCTCCGTTGACTTCACAGGGAGCCTGACCTAATTTAGGTGCTCAGTAAAATGATTAAGGTTAGGCAATCTAAACAGTGTCATCACTCCCATCTTTCCTTTTACCTCTGTCCCGCATTCTCCTACAATTTCATAAGGGGGAAAAAGAAAGAGCTAGTAACTTATCTGATGTAGTGAAATACTTTATGTGATGATTACTCTCTCTGACATTAGGAGCTTACCAAGCAGGAGTACATGATAAAACTACACAATGTAAAGAAGAGAAACTGGCAAAAGAAAGTTTTTCTACTTGATGCAATCTTGTTGATAGAGAACGTGCATACAAACACAACATAGACTCTGCTTTTATTTTGTTTTCTTTCCCAGAACATCCTGCTTTGTCTGAGGCACATGCCTGTTAGACCACAAACTTCTGCTTCAGTTTGATGCCAGGTTCTCCATGCAGTAGCAAGATAGCAGCTCTCCAAAACAGAGGTTGTCTTGCACTGCTTATTATACAGGAAACAACACGATGAAGCATTTAGCACAACAGAGGTCTTTGGACAGTCCTAAATCATGAATAATTAGGAAAAAAATGCAGAAGCTTTCTGAAAACACTGTCAGATGAGCACTTACAGTAATCCCATTCTCTGCTCCTCACCTCCTCCTATGCTTATCAGTAGCATCCCCTGAAGATGTATCCTATAACTAGGGGCAATCGTAGCTACTCTTTAATCTCTGATACAGCAAAGATTTAAGAACGTGTCTAAAGCCATTCAGATTTCAGTTTACCGAAGTGCATAACTAGATGGATATTATGACCTTAGGAAAACATCATGCATCAGAGAGGTGGAGCTAAGAAACATGCTCAAAAGTTAATCAGATTATTTTTTAAACAGAAAGGATTGTTAATACATGAACAACTTCTCTGCTGTATACATGTTTTTATACAAATATATATCAGATTACTGGAAATTAAATGAGGTAACAGAAATACAAAGACATGGTAAAAATAGGTCACCACAAAGCACGCTGAAGGGCTGGAGCAGAATGAAGAATGTCACCCATACATCCCAACTCTTTATTGATATTTAAGCCCTCATTCCTCTGTTACCATGCTCAGATTCCACGGTAGAAACATAGCAGTGATTTCTTGTGCAACTTTTGCTCACTGGACTTTGAGAAGTTTACTGGAATCAGATACATTAAGTTAATGAAAGACCTGTGAAAACAGTTACAGGCTGCACAATAAGCAGCATTTCATTAAAAACCACCAACAAGCAAAAAAAGTCAGAACGCAGTTAATCTACAACAGAAGGGGAGGGCTATGGTGAAGGATAGGCCAGTTATTATGTACGCAGTGGAAGAATTCTTGCTGTCCCACGTTTTAGATGTTCCTCTAACCACAATAAATGCCAAATCCCTCACTGCAATCCACCAACAATTCTGTTTACAGAACAGTAACGGTAGTTTCCTTCACGTAACAATGCTGTTTCTGCTTCTAGATGTTGTATTTCTCTATCTGTATAGTTTCCACAAAAAAAAAAAAAGAAGTTCAAAGTTCAGAAAGTGCAATTTCAAAGTACTTGAGGCAAAAAAAAGAAAGCATCTGGAAGGCACAAAAGTAGAAAACTTAAAATCTAACGAGACTGCATTTACAATGAGGAAGGAGTCAGAATGCAGCATTAAAAGTTCTTAGAAAATGCTGTTAAGAAAATCTCTCAGTGCCTTCAAAGTAATAGTGCACAATATTTACTGACCACTTATCCAAGTATCAAAGAGGAAATTTTCTCCAATTAAAATTGGCATTTTTTTAAATTACATTCTGAACGGTTGCAGCTGACAGGTTCTTTGAGAAAACACCTAACAACATCCTGTTTATTTTTGCACCCACCAGCTTTGACGCTGAAAAGCATTACAAGGCCTTGCTGCACACACTAAGTAGGAGAAGACTCGCAGTTCCCAGTCCGTCAGCTCCCTTACCGCCAAGCACGCCCTCGAGCGGATTTAACGCTCACCCCCCAACCCCTCCGGAGCGCAGACTCACTGCTGACCTGCCTATAAAACACCTGCCTTCTGAGCACTTTTTGGTTTCTTTTTTCGTGAGGAATCAATTTTTTTTCCCACACGCTGCCTGTCACCGATTTCAAAATCACGTCCAAATCCTTCCGGCAGACGCTTACAAACCTCGCTTACAACGGCCGGGATCCACTCCCGGGGAAGGCCCCCGGCCTCCGCA